GGGGGGGGGCAGAAGGCAGCCTCCGGCCACGGAGAAGAGGGTGCTGGGCACGGTGGAGTGGCTGACCGCCAGCAGGTAGGGGCCACCGGGCTTGGAGAGGGGACTGACCGCCCCAGGGGCCGGCGGCGCTGGCCTCACTCTGGCCTGCTCCCTCCTGGCAGGTTCTCCCTCCTCCGGGACTTCGCGCTCTGCCACTGGAAGAGCCACGTGCCCTTCGTCCTGAAGGTGAGGAGGACCCCCCGCCCCGGGCTGTTCTCGGCGCGACGGTGACACCGAGTCGGGGCGCGGCCCCGGGGCTGTGCGAGCCCCTGGCCCCAAGCGGCGCCCGAGGCCTGTGGGGACCGTTGCTTCTCCCCCTTCTCTTCCCAGGCCCTGGGGGAGTGCTGCCCCCTCCTCGCCTCCCTGAAGCTGTCGCACTGCAGCGGGGTGCAGGCCGAGTCCCTGAGCCTGCTGGCCAAGCGGTGTCCCCGGCTGGAGAGCCTGGACTTGCAGCACTCCCAGGTGGGGCAGGACGGAGGCCCTTTGTGCCCTTCCAGGAGCAAGGTGGGGTGGGGGTGACGGCTGCCAGCCACGTGCCAGGGCGAGGGCCGGGGGCACGCTGCCCACGTCTGCCCCCTCACCGCAGGGAGCATTCATGGGCATCGGGTGCCTGGCGCGTGCTCGGCGACACGGCCCCCACGCCCAGGGGTAGTACCCAGCCCCTTCCTGCACTGTGCCCAGGTGGACTCCTCGGCCGTGCTGAGCTTCCTGGGGGTCGCCGGCTCCCGCCTCAAGCGGCTCTGGCTGACATACAGCAGCCGCATGAACGCCATCCTCACCACGCTCGCGGTTAGCCAGCAGAGACCGCGGGCCGGGGCGGGGGTAGGAGGTCCTGCGCTGCCTGTGTGGCCAGCAGTGCAGGAGCGAGGGGTGGGGATGGAGGAGCAGATGAACAAGGTCCTGCCCCTGCCACACCCAAAACCCGCGCCCCGTGGTGACGCTGGGGACAGCTCGGCCTCCCGGGCGGTGGTTTCAGGCTCTGCCGGCTCGAGCTGAGGGTTTTCCTTGCGGCTGCAAGACCGAGAATCCCAGTCCCCAGAGACTCAGCTTAGAGGCCGGAGGGGGAGGTCGTGCCCCGGGCCCTGCACGTGCCAGGCAGGAACAGCCCGCTGTGACCTCCGCAGGCCGGGAGCTGCCCGGGGCTGCGGCTCTTGGAGGTGAACAGGGACATCAAGCAGAGCAGCCAGCGCTTCCAGCTTCCCGTGGAGCAGCTGCAGGCAGCCAGCCCGGAGCTGCAGGTACCAGCCTTCCCCTGTCCTGCCCGGACCCCCTGACCCCTGCCCACCCTTGGGGCCAGCCCTGCTGCCTCTGGGCACGGGCAGCTCTGCCTCAGAAGCGTCTGCCTGCTCCCGGCTCCCCTTGGCCTGTGTCCGATCCAGGTGCTGCGTCTCCTCAATGTGATCTGGTCCCCGAAGCCAAGCCCCCGCGCAGCCCCCGCCACCCTGGGCTTCCCCCAGCTGGAGGAGCTGTGCCTGGCCACCACGGTGCTCTCCTTCGTCACCGACGGCGTCCTGCGCCAGCTTCTGTGGGCCTCTGCCCGCCTCCGCATGCTCGACCTGCGCGGCTGCTTCCGCGTGACGCCCAAGGGGCTGCAGGAGCTGCCCTGCCCTGGTGAGTTGCATGTGGCTGTCTAGGCCCGGGGGGGGGCGCCGCATAGGCCCCAAGAGCCCCATGCTGCTCGGGCTCCTGTGCACAATGCATCACCCCAGATGCAGCTGCATTTCCAGCTGCCTTGGAGTTGCCTCCCAGGCTTCCCATCTGAGTACCCCCAGTGGAGCGTGGGGCAAGGCCCTTGTGTGTGCAGCGCTGCAGCCAGGTGTGGACGCAGAGACGGGGACAAGCAGGGCAACACGGAGGTGGAGAGGCTGTGGAGCTCCAGCAGCTCTTCTGCCCAGCAGCTGCTGTGGGGGCCAGCTGTCCCTCTGGCTGGGGGCTGGCATGGGGCACACGTGGCTGGCAGAGACAAGGCTGGGAGGGGAAGGACCAGGCAGCACGAGGCGGGGAAGTTGCAAGGAAGCGCACAAGGACATTGAGCGGCACGGCGGGGCTTCCCTAGGGGGAGACTAACGAGGCCAGGCCTGGGCAGTCTGCAGAAGAGGGGCTGGAGGGGGCAGGAGAAGGGTCCACAACACACGCAATGGGGAGGAGAAAGTCCCTGGGATTTATTACTGACTGTCTGTCACCAGACGGAACAAGGATCACATGCAGACCGAGCAGGCAGCAGTTTAACACGAACACCAGGGAGGTCTTTTCCCCCCAACATGGCATTAAAGGGGGGACTCGTGTCCCCCAGAGGTGGTGGGAGCTGAGAGCTCAGCCACATGCACCAGGGCTCGGACACGTGCGTGGAGGAAAGGGGCATCGGTGGCGCTGGGGCAGGGAGCGAGGGGCACGGCCTCCGCACCAGCCCTGCCTGGACCCCAATGCTGGAGGCTGCAGGGAGAGGAACAGGAAAACCCTGCTTAGCTCCGGTCGCTCTCCCTGCAGCCTCCGTTCCCTGCCCGTGGGACACGGGACGGGGCAGGACAGACCTGGGGTGTGACCCAGTCCATGGCAGCATTGAGGTCCTTACATGGGATGCCCGGGGGCTACGGGGTGGCCTGGGACCCACCATGGAGCCCTACAAAGCCCCGGCCAGGCACTGAGCCCCATTGCCCCCTGCCTGAGCCCCCTGACCTTGCACCCCACAGACCTGGAGCAGCTGCACCTGGGGCTGTACTGCAGCCCGAGCGCCCTGCCGCTGCCCACCACGGGCAGCCCCCTGCTCACCTGGAAGTGGCAGCACAGCCTGCAGGAGCTGGACCTGGCTGGGCAGAGCTTCAGCGAGCGCGACCTGGAGCAGGCCCTGGCCGCCTTCGCCCGCGGCCCAGCCCCACTACGTGCCCTCAACCTCACTGGCACCAAGGTCACCCTGAGCACCGTCAGGTGAGTGCGGGCACAGCCGGGCAGCAGTGCTGCAGGGGCCGTGGCCCAGCTCTGCTCCTCAAGCCCCTGCCTACTCACCGGGTCCCCCGGGCTGGTGCCAGAGCTGTCCTGCGGGTGCCAGGCCAGGCACCCATGTCTCTTGCAGGCTGGACAGCCCTGTTGCCCACTCTTGGGCCAAGCCAGAGCCTTTGGCCAGCCTCACTGGCCTCAGCAACTGGGTCAACTCTCACCCGAGGGTCTGCACAGCACCTGCCTCCCCAGCCCTCCCTAGGTGGGGGTGGGTTACACCAGTCTGAGCCCCCTCCTCCAATAACTGCCTCTCTGCTCTGCCGCAGCGCCCTCATCCTCAGCTGCCCCGGCCTGAGCTACCTCAACCTGTCGTCCTGCCGCCACTTGCCCCGGGGCACAAAGAGGGCGTACCGGGGGCCGGCTGCCATCCGCCAGTGCCTGCAGGGGCTCCTGACCCACTCCGACGAGCCGGAGCCTGCCCAGGACGCGGGGCGGTGACCCACAACCAGCCCCAGCCACTGGAGTCGTGGCTGCTAGAGCCGATGGGGTTGGGGCCGTGCCCTCCTCGTCTTCCTCCTGCCCCCACTTTTTGTACATGCCTCCTTGTGTCTTTTATAGCGTTTCTACTGCCCAACGTGGCGCAATAAAGCGCTGTTCCAGCCAGGAGCCTGCTGCTTCTGTCCCTGGTGCACAGAGCCCGAGGGTCCCTCGTGCCCTCGAGCAGCCAAGCCGGGTGCTTGGCGCCAGCTCCTATCGGGGTTCTAGAGCTGGCCTCTGCTCTAGAACCTGCCAGAGCCAGTTGCCGCGGCAGCAGCCCCCTTGCGGTCCGTCGCTCCCTCAGGTACGAGCCACCGGAGAGATGAGCTCGGGGCTGGAGCCGGGGGGGTACAGCGGCCCCACTGCCCCTGCAGCCACCTCCCTGGGGCTCAAGTTGGCTGCCCTGCCCCCCTCCCCACCCTGCAGCCCCCGCCATGCTGAGAGGCCCCTTCATCCTCTGGGGCTTCAACCCCTTCCGCTCGGAGCAGAAGCTGGTGCAGTGCCTGCAGGACAACGTGCACTTCCCCTTCGAGGTGCAGCAGCCCAAGGGTGAGGCCGGGCAGGGGCATCTGCAGCCCCCAGGGGGTGAACACCGGTCCCGGGGGGGCAGCTGGGGAGGCCCCCAGCACCCATGGGGTGGGGAGGGCACGCTCCTGCCCCAGCAAGTGGGGGAAGCCCCTGTCCTGCTCCGGGCCACTCCAGCTTGCTCTAGAACCCGCTCAGCCCGCCCTGCTCTAGAACATGCCCCCTTGGCCTCTCCCACGCACCTCCCCAGGTGGCACATCCCACCTTGCCCACGCGTGTGCCCCGGGCAGGGGCTGCCGGGCTGGGTCCGTGGCTTGCCCAGGGCTGCCCTGGCACCCGGGGCTGGGGGCTGTGCCCGGCAGCGCCTGAGCCCCCCGCCCCGCAGTCTTCGTGGTGGAGTACTACCGGGACACGCTGTGGAAGGGGGCCCTGCTCCTCCTGCTCTCCGCCGTGGGCTGCGGCCTCTACTTCCAGACGGAGAAGGTAGGGACCCCCCCACCCCGATGGGGTCGCAGCTGCCAAAGCAGGACCCTGCCCCATGTTGGGGGCCACGGGGCTGCCCCCAGCTCGCCTGCCCCCGCCACAGGGCGACCAGGACTATGCCGGCTTCTTCGCCTTCGGGATCATGACCGGGCTGTGGCTGGTGCTGTGCTCCGCGTCCAAGCGGCGCCTGGTGATCAACCACCGCCGCGGCTTCTACCGCCTCTACATCCGCGAGCGGCTGTGGCATCAGGGCCCCCTGCACCAGATCTACTTGCGGCTCACGGCGCAGCAGGACGGTACGGACCCCCGCACACCCACCCCCCCGTTGCCCCCGGCCTCTTGCCGCCAGCTCACCGCGCCTCACCGCCCGCAGCCTACGGCAAGAGCTTCTACAGCCTTGTGGTCAGCGGCTACCGCCTGGAGGAGCTGGTGCTGGCCCGGCTCTCGACCGACTACGAGGTGGGCCCCGGCTGGGGGGGCTGGTGCCACGTGGGGGGAGGGAGCGACCTGAATGCAGGCCCCCCACACTGCCCTACGAGCTGGGGCGGTGGGCGGCAGTGGGGGGAGCTCTGGGTCCCCTGGCAGCGCACGCGGGATCCCAGGGCTTTGCTGCACCCTGCCCCGGGCACGGGGCAGAGCCGTGGGGCCAAGCCCCGTTCAGGGACCTCTCTGGGAGCCCCTCGCGCCGGGCTCAGGCTGCCCTGCCCGTGTCCCCCAGCAGCAGATGCAGGCCCTGGGCCGCAGGCTGGCGCACAAGCTGTACCTCAACTACTTTGACTGCCAAGAGGCGTCGGGCCGGCACGTGGTGCGGCACTGGCCCCCGCCCCTGCTGCACGACGACAAGGCCTGGCCCCAGGACGCGGACGAGACCGACCGGCACGAGGCCGAGGGCCTGCCTGTGTGAGCTCAGTAAAGCGCAGCCCCCGATGCTCCCTCCGGCTCCATGCCCCTGCTCCGGCACCCCCAACCTGGGCAGGTTGGGCCCCTGGAGCTGGCTGCAGGGCGCAGGGGCTGGGCCGGCTCCCAGGGCCTTACCTGCCTTGCGGGGGGGGCCGGCGGGGGAGCTGCGGCCCAGCAGCCCCGGGCTGTGCCTGGGTGCCGGCTGCCTGCCCCGCGGAGCCCGGCTGCCTGGTGCTGGAGCCGGCCCCGGGGCAGGTCCGGCTGCCCTGCTGCACCGCCGGCCCCCACTAGAGGGAGCCGGGCGCCCTCCAAATGCTCAGCCCAGTCTGGCCCAGTCCAGTCCAGTCCAGCCCAGCACAATCCAATCCAGCCTGGTCCAACCCAGTTTAGCCCAGTCCAGTCCCTCCCAGTCTGACTCCGTCCAACCCAGCATAGCCCAGTCCAGCCCAGCACAGTCCAATCCAGCCTGGTCCAACCCAGTTCAGCCCAGTCTGGCCCAGCATAACCCAGACTAGGCCAGTCCAGCCCAGCATGGCCCACTCTTGCCCAGTTTAGTCCAGTCCAGCCCAGCACAGTCCAACCAGTTTAGCCCAGTCCAGTCCATCCCAGTCCGACTCAGTCCAGCCCAGCATATTTTAGCCCAGTCTGGCTCAGTTCAGTCCAGTCCAGCCCAGCACAGTCCAGTCCGGCCTGGTCCAACCCAATTCAGCCAATCTGGCCCAGCCCAGCATGGTCCAGTCTGGCCCAGTTCAGTTCAGTCGAGTCCAGCACAGCACAGTCCAATCCAGCCAGGTCCAACCCAGCCCAACCTGGCGCAGTGACCCTGCCCCCCCAGCCCCCATGCAAGAAGGGGCCCCA